AAGTGACACTACATCAATATACATATTTTGTGGTACAATTTTACTCTTTTCTATACTTGCTATATTTCAATTCTCATTTCTGCTTTATATCTTGGGTTTTTAAAATACGCTTAAAATCATTGGTGACAAAGTTACATCACTTGAAAAAATTCAACTGTACTAGTTTCTTAATTTCTACTTTCATCTGGCATCCACTGAATTCATTAGACTCACTTGTTATTCTATTTCCAGTTTTTCTTATTGATAGTTTATTTTGCTTATTTTTTGTTTTCATATTCAATCCTGAAAGCGTGCAATGTGAAAGATGTATTGCATGTTTGGTCCTATCTTAGGCTCAATATCCTCATTATTGCTATTTCCCAAGTATTCTCTTCTGATGCCCTCTTTAATATCAAAGTTATTTAGGAAAGAGTTATTTTTTTTCTTTTCTTTAATCTCACAGGAAACTGAGATTGTTGGTTTATATGTTCTTTTAATTTCTATATTTATCATACTTTGCTCACATCCTAGTATCACTGATTTTATTCAGGTTTTAATTATGAATATATATTAAAGAATTTAATATATAAATTTATTATATTATTCACATTCTTCATATTTTTTCAAATATTTTTTAACTCAAGTCAAAGGTGAGAACTGAAAGAGGTTTGGACATGTCTTAGATTACTAATTTTGCTCTTGTGAGTTTTCCCTTGTATTTTTCAGAGGCTTGCATAATATATTTCTATACTGTATTAAATGTATAAAACTTTTCTGACTTCTGTGGTCTGACTGGAGATCAAATTTTTTTATTAAAGTAAAATTTATTTATTTAAACAATTTGATACATGTTCTTTGAAATTTACTTTTTTAAAATACTTTTGAGGTTCTTCTTTTTTTATTTTCTAAGATCCATTTAACCTTAAAATTTTCCTGAATTGCTTTTAAATTTCTCTCTGGTAAGAACATTATTACTAGGCCAGCATTGTGGTGTAGCCAGTTAAGCCACCACTTTCAATGCTAGCATCCCATATCAGAAGTCTGGTTCAAGTCCTGGCTGCTCCAGTTCAGAACCAACACCTCACTAATGCACCTGAAAAAGCAGCAGAAGATGGCCCAAATACATAGGTTCCTGCCAACCCCATAGGAGATCTGGATGGAGTTCCTTGCTCCTGGCTTCCATTTAGCCCAGCACCAACCATTGTAGCCATGTGGGGAGTAAACCAAGGGATGGAAGTATCTTTCTCTCTCTGTCTCTATTTACATATGTATGTCACTCTACATTTCAAATAAATAAATATTTTTTTAAAAAATTATAGCTTTAATAAAGTTATGATTAAATTTTAAATTTTAATTCAATGTTTGCCATTATTGGATCACTTTTAACAAGTATTTTGTTTCTATAACTGGCAGATCTATTCTTGCTTTCACATTTTTTTCTGCTGTGTGACTTTTTTGTTCTATCCTCTCACCACTTCATTTTCTTCTCTTTTCTTATTTATTTTCCTATTTGTTTTATGTATTATTTACATCATTTTCTTCCCCTTTGGTGATCTGGAAGGTATGCGTTCTACTTTCAATTCTAATAGAAGAGACACTCATACTCATTGTCTGTGACTCTCATGTGGTATCTCCAGTTGGCTATAGTTATAGTCTTAGATTTTTATATGAATTTTAAACTTTGATGATCAGTTTATGCTTAACTTAATTAGATTAAGTTCTATCAAATACTAAATTGGGTGTTGGTGTGAAAGTGTTTTCTGTGCATGGGTAACCCAGTGAGTTGTCCTTAAGAAAGGAGACTCCCCACCATAATGTGAGCAATCCTTGTTAATCACTGAGGTTTCTCTGAGGAAGAATACTTCCCTAAACAGTACAACATCAGTCCTACTCAGGACTGTGCACTCTGCCAACCCACACTACAGATTACAGACTTTCCAACCCCTGTGACTGTGTTGTCTATTCCTTGAAATAATCTCTTCATATATATAGGAGCACTATGTACAAGTACACAGATTGTCCCCGATTTGTGATGATTCTACTTAGATGTTCTGACTTAATGATGGTGCAAAAGCAGTGCACATTCAGGAGACACTGTAATTCAGATGGTAAATGTTGATCTTTCTCACTTTAGCAATATGTGATATGATGTTTCCTCATGATGCCAGCAGCGGCAGTGAGCTGCAGCTCCCAGTCACCATGCTGTCCCCAGGGAATACAACAGACATTCTCCAGTGTACTGTGTTGCTAGCCCTTGGAGATATAGGTACTTAATAAATTACATAAACTACTCAACGCTTTAGTATAAAATAGTCTTTGTGTTAAATGATTTTTGCCTAACTACAGGCTAATGTAAGTGTTCTGAGCACATCTAAGGTAGAGTAGACTACACTACGATGTTCTGTAAATTAAGTGTAAAAAACTCATTTCAACTCACAATATTTTCAACTTACAATGGGATAATCAGGATGTGACCTCATCATAAGTCAAGTAATATGTGTGTCTGTATATGTGTGTGGAGAGCTATAGAGATGAGATTATATGTACCGATAGGCTTACACACACACACACACACACACACACACACAATCTACTGGTTATATTATGATTTTATAAAAATAAAACCCTAATTAATCTATTAGCTTTTCAAATTTCATGCAGTTTTACAAGAACAATCATTAGAATTTGTCAAATTTTATGAGCCATATTTACATTATCATATTTGCAGTATTTCAAGAATTCTTATCACTAATTTATATTATTCTTCAATTTTGTTCCCATTTTTGGATTTTAAATTCAGTTGACTCTATTAATTAGAACACTTTTTTGTATTTTTTATAATTTTTTCAAAGCAATGTGTATTTCCCTTTACATGTTCAATGCATCTTTGCAGGATTCCTAATTATTTGGTAATATTCTTTTTTAATATTATTCATTTTATTTGAAAGACAGACAGAGACACCTAAAGAGAAACTTCTATCAGCTGGCCTATTTCTCAAATGCCCACAACAACTAGTACTGCACCAGGTCAAAGCCAGGAGCCAAGAATCCAACCCAAGTATCACATATGAGTGGCAAAGACCCAAGGACTTGAACTAGCACCTCTGTCTTCAAGGATAGACATTAGCAGGAAGTTGGAATCAGGAGCTAGGGCTCAGACCAGGTACTCCAATATGGGACACAAACATCCCAAGCTGCATCCTTTTGAATTTTCTGTTTTTTGACAGGCAGAGTGGACAGTGAGAGAGCAGAGAGAGACAGAAAGAAAGGTCTTCTTTTTCTGTTGGTTCACCCCCAATGGCCTCTACGGCCGATGCACCGCACTGATCCGAAGCCAGTAGCCAGGTGCTTCTCCTGGTCTCCCATGTGGGTGCAGGGCCCAAGCACTTGGGCCATCCTTCACTGCATTCCCGGGCCACAGCAGAAACCTGGACTGGAAGAGGAGCAACCAGGACAGAATCCGGAGCCCCAACCAGGACTAGAACCCGGTGTGCCGGCACCTCAGGCGGAGGATTAGCCTGTTGAACTGTGGTGCCGGCCTACTTGGGCCATCTTCTACTGATATCTCAGGCCATAGCAGACAGCTGGATCAGAAGAAGAGCAGCCAGGACTAGAACTGGCTCCCATGTGGGATGCCAGCACTTCAGGCCAGGGCTTTAACCCACTGCGCCATAGCGCTGGCCCCAACAATTTTTATTTTTAATACTGATGTGTCCAAAGTAAACATAGCTACTCCTAGGTTTTCTATGCATAATTCATTTATAGCTTTTATTATTGTTTCTTTTTTATTTATTCTTGGCTCTTATTGAAAAGAAGGATTACCTATATGTAGCTTTCCATTTGTATATTTCTATTTCTAGTATCTTATCATTTATTAGTTTTATTGTCTTATTTTGCTTTCTACATTCTAGTGGTACTAGATATACATCAATTGGTTTTTCATGTCACCTGTTCAGTTTGAGGCAGTGTTGCTTCTACTCTTTACTGCATTATTAAATTTAATAAGATCTTTCATATGTTTTTTATCATTTCTATTTTGCTTCTGTCTACATCTTTCTACACAGTTGCAATTCAGATTATTCATTTCTTTTTTTTTTTTTGTAATTAGTAGTAATGATAATTTTTTTTAACTTTTATTTAATGAATATAAATTTCCAAAGTACAGCTTATGGATTACAATGGCTTCCCCCCCATAACGTCCCTCCCACCCGCAACCCTCCCCTTTCCCACTCCCTCTCCCCTTCCATTCACATCAAGATTCATTTTTGATTCTCTTTATATACAGAAGATCAGTTTAGCATACATTAAGTAAAGATTTCAACAGTTTGCTCCCACACAGAAACATAAAGTGAAAAATACTCTTTGAGTACTAGTTGTAGCATTAAATCACAATGTACAACACACTAAGGACAGAGATCCTACATGAGGAGTAAGTGCACAGTGACTCCTGTTGTTGACTTAACAAATTGACACTCTTGGTTATGGCCTCAGTAATCACCCTAGGCTCTTGTCATGAGTTGCCAAGGCTATGGAAGCCCCCTGAGTTCACTGACTCTGATCATATTTAGACAAGGCCATGGTCAAAGTGGAAGTTCTCTCCTCCCTTCAGAGAAAGGTACCTCCTTCTTTGATGACCCGTTCTTTCCACTGGGATCTCACTCATGGAGATCTTTCATTTAGGTGGTTTTTTTTGTTTGTTTGTTTTGTTTGTTTGTTTGTTTTTTGCCAGAGTGTCTTGGCTTTCCGTGCCTGAAATATTCTCATATTCATTTCTTATAGGATTCAGATTTTTTGAGATTTACTTGACAGCAAAAAAAATGTATGATCTAAAATTTACTCTTGCAATGAACTATGTTTCTCCACTTCCTTTTGCATGTTTCTATTTCTATTATGTTATTGGGATTTTTTATATCTTATATAGCAAGCCTCAATAAGCTGTTAAAATATATATAGGTGTGTGTGTATGCTTGTGTATGTGTGTGTGTGTGTGTGTGTAGCCTTAACTTAGTCTCATTCCTCACCTTTCATTTCCTGAAGCAATATCAGCTCCAAGATGTGTCCAGGATTTTTTAGTATAAGCACTGTGAAGCTGAACTTTCCCATAAACCCCTGAAAATAAAAAGAGCAACGGTTGAACAGGAAAATCCTTCAGAAGAATTAAGGTGAGATAAGTAAAATTCATTCCAGAAATAATTGTGCAAAATGTGATATAGAATCTGTATATTAAGGAGCCCATCTTATCAAAAAATGAATATTTAAGTGCTCTATTTTACAAGAGGTCATATATATCACACATGACCAAAAATAGTATTCTTTCAAAAACTATAAAGAAACAAATGCTGCACAACATGACAATAATCTAAAAGCTGGGGAAAAGAACCACTGTAATAGTTAACTAGTTAAATTTGAAAAAGTACTCCCTCCTACCTATAAGTGACTCCAAACCATTTGCAATTCTGTGGGAAGTTAACTGGTTTTGATATTTTATGTTATATAGTAGATTCTCCAAGGGGCATGGATAATTTTATTTCCTAAGGATAGGGCTTTGTTACTATTAGCTTTGTTTTCCGTGGTTGGACTTAATATTTTGTCTTATTACAGATATCAAGAGAGAGATCTCTACGTCCTTTATTTCAAAATATAATTTATTTCAGACTTGCAAATTAAAGTCTTACGAGGGCCATGCTTGATGCAGCCCAGTTTTATTCCTTCAGGTCTTTCCTCTTACATATTCCATTGCCATTTTCAACCATACTGAACATAATTCTTCATAGTCTAGTGGTCTAAAAATGTTTTGACCATGAAACTCAGCAGTAAAACTAAAATGTCATCATGTGCTCCCAACACATGTATATTCATTTTATTTAAATAGCTTTAGATAATATTTATTATTTCAGATAAATAAGTACGCTCATGTATATGAATATATTCATATATTTGAATAGAATTTCTAATATTATCTATCTGCACCCATTTGGATTGCTTACAAATTCATAGATGGAGACATTCCATTCTATTGCAAGCCATTAGCTCAAAACTTCACAATTTTCAGCAAAAAAAAAAGCACAAATGAAAGACTTAAATATTAGTAATGCACAAGTAATATACCTTGGGTTTACATAAAAATGGACTCAAAAAATCTCAATTATTTAGAACCTAACCAAAAAAAATATATATATATATACACACACAATTTTCCCATACCCTAATACAGGAAAAGGTCATAAGATGAAAAAACTAAAATCAGTGTTAATGTTTATTAAAAATCCCACTTTTAGGACATATTCTGCAATCAGTATTCCATAATAATAATTTATAAACATAGTTTACAAGATACCATCATTATCATCTTCTTCCATCCACAAAAAAAAAAAAAAATGAAATCCATCTTTTTCATTATAGGCTAAGTAACCTAGGCAGATAAGGATTCTGAAGCAATTTAGAGAGATTTCCAACAACACTGATAACAAAAAGCAGTTCACATCCTTAAATTTGAATTATCCAGAAAATTCAATTTACCAGAAAAGCAAATTTATTGGTCATTTCCAATCATCAAAGGATTACTGAAAAATGATACCATTTTTCAGTTGTTTCAAGGAGATTATAAAGGATTTAAAATGATTAAAATCCATCATTTACTTATGACACCATAAAAATTTAAGCATGCAATGAAACAAATATTCTGTTTTTTATTTCAATCTGGTAACAAAAGTTTTCAAAAGCCCTAATGTGATCATATGGCTGGGTTCAGGGATCAGGAAAGGCCTCTGCGGAAATCCTTAACAGAATATTTGATCCATTATAACCACTGCAGTCAAACAGAGTGGCTACTATATAGCTAAAAAGAGATTGAACATTTCTGTTTGTGATCCATCTACTCTTTGTCAACTTGGAAATTTTTTTAAATTGTTGAATCTCATATTATTGGGAAGATATAATAAATAGCATGCATGAAAAAATCTTCAGAAATTATAAAATACTATCAAAATATTACATAGCAATGATTATTTGTCAGATTTCTAAGTTAACTATTGTCCAAACATTATTTTCTGTTTTATTGAGTACTGAAATGCAGAGAGGAAGCTGCTAAGCATCGATGAATATTAAATTTCTATCTCATGGTATTCAGAAACCTCAAATAGGATGATCCTTTCTCTTTTGCCACAAGACAAAGTGAGTCACTTTAAACATTCAACACGGGCTCACTTGGTTAATCCTCCGCCTGCAGTGCCGGCATCCCATATGGGTATTGGGTTTTAATCCCGGTTGCTCCTTTTCCAATCCAGCTCCTTGCTGTGGCCCCGGAGAGCAGTGAAGGATGGCCCAGGTCCTTGGGCCCTGCACCCGCATGGGAGACCAGGAGGAAGCACCTGGCTCCTGGCTTCGGATTGGAGTAGCTCCGGCCATAGCGGTCATTTGGTGGGGGTGAACTAACGGAAGGAAGAACTTTCTCTCTGTCTCTCTCTCACTGTCTATAACTCTAACTGTCAAATAAATTAAAAAAAAAATAAAAAAAAATTCAACACAATAGTGCATATTATAGAGAATCCATTGACGTCAATATTCTGTCTGTTTAAAGTAATACATTCAAGGTATGTAACAATATATTTTAAAAGGTGATAAATTATAATCAAAGTTAGGGAAAGAAAGTAACAAGAGAATCAGGTTTTTAAAATGTAAATATTCTTAAAGGGAAATTGCTTCATACAAAGGGTTATCCCTCTTTACTTATAAAATTAGCAATTATCATAAAGAAAAAGTGATAGAGTATTCAAAATACAATAATCATTCTTTTCTTATTTAAAACTGAGCTATTTTGAAGCTCTTACTTACATCATGGTTATACAAGGTAGATAGACTCTTACTTCAGACAGACTTTGGAGTCCAAATAATCTGTTTATAAATCTACATTCTGTCACTAGAAAACTGTGTGGTCTTATACATATTTTTCATCATCCCTGAGTCTTAGCTTTTTTTGAGTTTTGTTTATTTATTTGAAAGGCAGAGCAATGGCGGGGAGGAAGGTCAGGGGAGCAGAAAGAGATTTTGCATTCACTAGTTCACTCCTAAAATGGCCACAACAGCCTATTCTTGGTCAGGCCAAAACCGGGAGTCAAGAACTCTACACTGGCCTTCCACATGGATAGGAGAGGCCTCAGTATTTGGACCACCTTCTGCTGTCTTCTCAGGAAAATCAGCAGGAAGATGGATTGGAAGCAGAGCAGCCAGGACTCAAGACTCAAACTGGCACTCCTATCTATGCTACTGGCACTGCAAGCAGTGGCTTACACTACTGTATCACAGTGCTGGCATAAATCTGAGTTATGACTTCCATAAAATGGTCACTGCTCACAGAAAACCTAGTAGGGGAAATAATAAATTATCTAGAAGAATGCCTGGAATTTAGTAAGTAATCTATGAATGACATTTCTATGAGACACACACAAGCACATATATACACATGCTTACTTATTTTTTTAATAAAAATTATTTCATACTCTTACCAATTATTCCTGGGTCAATCTGAATTCCATTGAAACGATCACAAAAGACACCCTCTGAGGCTCTAAGGAGAATCGTAAGCTTTTGTTCTTTCTGTAAGGGATTTTCTAAAGTACCTGTTTATAAAGAAAAGTATATCATTCAACACAATTTGAAATTAAGAGGGAGAGATACAAATTGTGATGTAATTTCAGAAGTGTAAAGTTGATGCTAGGAAGTAGAATACATGCAACAGAGAACATAGTCACATGATTCAGTATAGTTTTCTGAAGGAGACCAGATTACTATTCAGCAATGTGCACTCTTCATTAGCGCACATCATGGTTTCCTGACTTCCTAATGTTTATTGGTCATATGACTTGTTTTATCCAGTGAAATTTGGGTGGCAGGGATATTAATGCCAGTTCCCAGTTCTTCAAGGCACTTGGCAAGTTTTTACCAGGTCTCTGCAATGATGCGTGCTGCCATGAAAGAAGAATTCCTCAAATAGCTTATAGGGCTTGAAGGAAGAGACTTACAGATCAAAGCTGGATAGAACACACAAGTCGAAGCCAAGTCCATCTGAGTCTAACCCAAATATTTGTTGTTGAAAACCACCGAGATTTGGGGGTTGTTTGTTGTACACCATTATTACAGCAAAATACTTGGCTGATACACTAAGGCTAGTTGATTCCCAAATTCCTTTAATGTGTTTTAGCATTTAATCCTTGCAAGGAACCTGATAAGTATGATTCTGATCCAAGTTTTAAATATTTATACATAAAGGATATTAGAGGTTAAGGGACTTGTCTAAGTTTATCCAATAAGTAACAAAATCTATTTGAAGAAAGATCTAGTTGTTGTGTTTCATTAAGCAAGTAGTAGGTCATATTCTAAATCTAAATTCTGTTAGCAGCTTAAAGACATAATGTTACGATACTCCCACAGCAGTTTGGAATGACTTCTGATCTTATGCTGCTAATGTAAACAATGGTGTCTGTCAGTTTTACAGTGTGAGACTTGTTCAGGGAAAATTCTGAAACAGTGTTAATGAGTATGGATCTAAGGAAGACTATTTTCTTTTGGAATATGCATCTGAGAGCACAGAAACTATTACAAAGAATGCTTAAGGAGTAACTGAACAGACCCCAAATTATATACTAGATCAAATAGGCTCACAAAATCTGTATGCTCTGAAACAAAACTTTCCAGTTTAGAAATTTCTGAAAACAATACCAAAAATGAAGTGATCTCTAGAGCAGCCCAAAATAATCCCCCTGCAAAGATTCAAGGTGAGTTTGAAGCTGCTACGTACCTATTTTTATAGCCCAGGCTTTACAAACATTATTCTAGAAGGGACTGTTGGAAGCAGAACTCAGAGAGGAAATAAATCTGCCTGGAGTCCTAAAACAGGTCAATGGGCAAACAAGGATCAGAACCCACAGCCTGTGTTTCTTAAATAAGCCGCTAAGGTATGCCCCTGCTCTGTGTAGGTAATGCCAGGCCTCAATTGAGAGACTAATGTCTCCTCTTAGCCAAAACAAAGATGTGCTAGAGCAGAAAGAAGGGAAGCAGGGGAGGGGGAGAATGTTAAGCAAATGTGTATGGTGTAACTCTTATCTTGCGGTTATAAGTCTGTCCAGTAAGCTGTTTTCCAACTGTGATTTCATTTATTTCACGGAGGGTAGTTTAAAGTCTTGGGGAAAAATGGCCTAGCACTAAACAGATACCAGAGAGAAAAAAGTAGGACAGTTTTTGCCCTAGAGAAATGTATGCAGAGTCCCACAAAAAGAGTTCAGCATTCTTTTAAAATCAGAGATTAAATCAATTATGCAACCCAAAACTACAGCACATGTGGAGCTTTCGCAGAAAGTCTGGGCAAAATTAGTCAGCCTGCCATGATCTTTCAGTATCTCAGATGACCAGGATTTCAATTCTTTTCTATAATGAGGGGCAAGGAAAAGATGCAGAATAGAAGCCAGGTAGAAATAAGTGAAGTTGAGAAGGAAATCCAAGCTATTTCAACATTAAAATGCAAAGCTTCTTAAATTCATAAAAGCTGGGGAACAGGAAGCTTTCAAGGCTGAGATACTCATTTTATTCTCAACTCCAGCAATCAAAGAAAGAGGAGGCACTCTCTCCAGTATGTGTGTTGATCCTAAATGGGAATAGCCACTTCCTAAAGAAGACGCTAGGAGCACTGTTTATCACTAGTCTAAGCTGTAAGCCTCCTGCTAGTTGGTCTCACCTGTAGCAAGAGGTTAAAACCTTAATGAATTTATATATTCATAATGGAGGGGAAATTCATTTTCATTGGGCTGCAAAGACATTCCATATGTTTGCAAATGTATATTTTATTTCATTCTCATAACCTCACAGTGAATATTATTGAGGTTCTCATGAGGAAACTGAGGCAAAGAGAGCTTAAGTAACTTGTCAGGAATTACACAGCTATTAAGTGGTGGATTTGGACTGTAGATTTCATAAGTATCACGGAGGACATGTGAATATGGAGGAATAGGAAAGGAGTAATGGGAGGCTGCTATTGTGGGCAATGGAACTAGAGTAGAATATGTTCCAGATGCTAAAATCTCCCGGGGAGATGGAAGAAAATCACTTCAGGTATAGGAAAGGTAACCACTGTAATGGTTTGGGGAATATGATACAAATGGATTCCATGAATTTCAATAGGTAAGAATAGATTCAAAGGACTTTTAATTATTTTATTACATAACTTCTTTGATGGACGCAAATAGACATATAGCTTACACTTAAGCCCCTCTATCAGGATGACTCCTCACAGCTTGTACTAAGCAAACCCAATGGGAACTCTGACCACTCCCTTAACTTTCTCAGAAGGGCCTCAGCCTTTTCTCTTCTTCCTGATTCCCAATCGTCCCTCAAAACTTGGCCCCACTGTAAGTTATTTCTAAAAGCTTCCTATGGTCTAAACTTAGGTGACCCCCTTTCAACACAAGAATGTCCATGCCCTTGCTGCAGTAATTTCACTTAAAGGAAGTTGTCTGCTATATGGAATATGGGTAAAGATTAATATCCAATGTTGTTCATTGTAGTTGTATTTATTTCTAATTGTATGCATTTAAAAGTGCTTTGAAAGAGTAAACAGAAGACCTTTGTCCTTTTATAATCCCTTCCTCTGTCTAATCTTGTTGTTGTAGTTGTTGTTGTTGAACCACACAAATCCCTGAACAGGTCATGTGCTTCCTTGTATCTGCTTTCACTGCCTGACACACTGCCAGTCCTGTTTTCTTCACAACTAACCCATGTACTTTCAAACCCAGCTCAGTGCCACCCTTTGGAGATCCTTCCTCATCAACTAACTCTGCAGTAAGTGGTCCTCCATGACAGCCACAACAAGCTATGATTTACCTCCATACTTCTAAAACTGTACTGTAGTTGCCTTTGCCTCATTGTCTCCTTCTCTGAATGAAACTGGGTGTTGCCAGAAGAATTCACTTGAAAATATTTTACCCAGAAATTGTGATCTAGGTAATATTTATCAACTTTCCTGCAGAAAACATTTTGAAATAAAGAGAAATATTCTATAGTAATAAAGAAACTCACTTTAAGAGTAAGATATAACAATTTTAAACCCATATGCACCTAGCATCTTCATATCAAACTATATAGAGTAAAAATCTAAAAAACTTGTGGAAAAACAAACATGTCTATAAAAATATTAAAGTCAGCACAGCCTCTCACAGAGTAAACAGAAAATAATAAGGGTGCAGCCCAAACTGGCGAGTAGTGCTGAACCAATTTACATATGACACACATTTTATTCTAAATTACTTTTTAACTTCAGCTATATATTTGAATTTCTTATCTTAGAAATATCCCACCCCAATAGAATCAATTCCACCTGAAAATAAATGAAGGCTGAAAGGACTTGCAATCCAGTGCAATAAGAACTGGTCACAAGGGGCCGGCACTCTGACACATCCCACATGGGTGCAGTTAGTGTTCTGGCTGATCGAGCTCTCTGCTTATAGCCTGGGAAAGCAGTAGAAGATGGCCCAGGTGTTCGGGCACCTGTACCCCCAAAGCTCCTGGATCCTCCCTTCAGATCAGCTCAGCTCCGGCCATTGCGGCCATTTGGGGAGTGAATCAGCGGACGGAAGACCTTTCTTCTGTCTTCCTCTCTCTGTAACTCTACCTCTCAAATAAGTAAGCTTTTAAAAAATCTGTAGGCATCATCAAGTGATAATGTCTAGCCTTCATAGAGTGACTTTATTCAGTCTGATCATTTTTTATTACTAATGAGGACTATCATTTTCAGAATATTAAACATTACAATGTTATTTATTCACCATTTGAGGCATGTATCCTTAAACTCCATGGACAGGGTGAAGCAAATTACTTCCTTTCCTTAAGCCTTGATTTTCTCAATAGAAAAACAGGAACAAAAACAGCACCCAGTTTTTGTGAGGGTTAAATGATTTGGTGCATGTTAATAGCACACAGCACAATGTATATACTGCATGCTGTTAAAAATGTTGACTCTTGGTAGTAATTGTATTAAAAATATAGTAACAATGGAGATATGTTGATTTCAAAGTTAACTTTTAGGTTTGGAAATTAAGAAAAATAAGGCATACTCTTTGTAGAAAGTAATGAGATTTGGTGAGTGAACCAACAGCTGCAAGATTTTTTTTTCTGTCTCCCTCTTTCTGTGTTTCAAATAAAGTATAAATAAAAAATTTAGAAAATACAAACATTTAAAACAAAAAACAGACTTTAAAATTTGCATTTTTATTATTAATTAATTAAATTTGATTATTTTAACAACTAAGTAGAAGTCTAAGAGCCTTATATTACTATTATAGAGGTCCCTATGTCAAAAACACAATTTAGGAAAACACTGAGTTAGCAAATGTTAAGATATTAAAGTAGAGATAATTATTTCAGAGACTTACTGATGCCCATGAGAGAGAAGAAACTTGATTTGTAATGGTGTTTTGCTTAAAAATATTCATACATATTTAAAAGTAATATGATAAATTTTCAGAGAACGCTATCCACGAGCAAATAAACAGAGCTTCCCATGTTTAATCTCATTTGAAAATACACCCAACTTACTGTTGGCTGTCAGCCCATTACTGACTTTCCAAGCACA